CCACCTTGAGTGGTTCTCTTTAGATTCATTTATATTGGATCACTTATTGGACTCTTGTATATGATCTTATCACAAACACTTGTGTCACTTTATTTGATGATTTATGGTCACCTATTAGCAGGGGCGGACTGACAACTCATGGGGCCCCCGGGCAATAGGGGATCATGGGGCCCCTGTGTCCTTGCCCACACTCAAAGCACACCCAAAAAAGCCTATAAAAGGTACCAGGGGCATTTCATGGGGCCCCCCCTACTGACCCCGGGCCCTCGGGCAGTGCCCGAGTGCTTGAATGATCAGTCCACCCCTGCCTATTAGCATTTATAGCACTTTATTATCTATATATTGATAATCGATGATTCATTATTTGTCATTTGCATAAGCACTTTAATTTTGATTCTAGCACTGCATCCATATACAGGGGGTGCAGCAACATAACTTCCTTTTTTGAAATGCGTGCCATTCAGGCTGTAGCGGCCATAGCGGGGTGGGAGTGGTCTCAGGCGACAGGCGTAGTTCTAAAGTTTTTGTTCTCTTCCAGGTCAGTCATCATCATGCGTTGGAACAGTGAGCAGCGTGCGTTTGCCGTAGAGGCCTACTTTTCGAACGGATTTTCTGTGATCGCAACCCAACGCGCCTTCCGACATCGCTTCAATGTAGCCCCGTTGGGCCGTGTCCCGGACCGGAAATCAATTGTTACGTGGCTCACTACGTTCAGACAAACCACGAGTACGACAAGACGAAGAGCTGGAGTCCCTCGACCCATCAGATCACCTGAGAACATCGAAGCAGTGAGAGCTTCAATCTTGCGATCCCCGCAGCGTTCTGCGCGCAAACATGCGTCTGCCCATGGACTTTCGGAAAATTGCCAACATACACGCTGCTATGCTGGTAACGGTCATGAAAAACACCAGAAATCGGCTTATTCAGTGTATGGACAATGGGGGGCGTCACCTACCTGATATGATTTTCAAAACTGTGTAAAACAGAACTTTAGATATGTACCTACAGTGGGGATCGAAAGTTTGGGCACCCCAGCTAAAAAATTTGTATTAATGTGCATAAAGAAGCCAAGGAAAGATGGAAAAATCTCCAAAAGGCATCAAATTACAGATTAGACATTCTTATAATATGTCAACAAAAGTTAGATTTTATTTCCATCATTTACACTTTCAATATAACAGAAAACAAAAAAATGGCGTCTGCAAAAGTTTGGGCCCCCCTGCAGAATTTAAGCATGCACTGCCCCCTTTGCCAAGCTGAGACCTGCCAGTGTCATGGATTGTTCTCAATCATCGTCTGGGAAGACCAGGTGATGTCAATCTCAAAGGTTTTAAATGCCCAGACTCATCTGACCTTGCCCCAACAATCAGCACCATGGGTTCTTCTAAGCAGTTGTCTAGAAAACTGAAACTGAAAATAGTTGACGCTCACAAAGCTGGAGAAGGCTATAAGAAGATAGCAAAGCGTTTTCAGATGTCAATATCCTCTGTTCGGAATGTCATTAAGAAATGGCAGTCATCAGGAACAGTGGAAGTTAAAGCAAGATCTGGAAGACCAAGAAAAATATCAGACAGAACAGCTCGCAGGATTGTGAGAAAAACCATTCAAAACCCACATTTGACTGCACGATCCCTCCAGAAAGATCTGGCAGACACTGGAGTTGTGGTCACTATTCCACTATAAAGAGATACTTGTACATATGGTCTTCATGGAAGAGTCATCAGAAGAAAACCTCTTCTACGTCCTCACCACAAAAATCATCGTTTGAACTTTGCAAATGAACATATAGACAAGCCTGATGCATTTTGGAAACAAGTTCTGTGGACCGACGAGGTTAAAATTGAACTTTTTGGCTGGAATGAGCAAAGGTACGTTTGGAGAAGAAGGGCACAGAATTGAATGAAAAGAACCTCTGTCCAACTGTTAAGCATGGGGTTGGATCAATCATGCTTTGGGGTTGTTTGCAGCCAGTGGCACAGGGAACATCTCACGAGTAGAAGGAAAAATGGATTCAATAAAATTTCAGCAAATTTTGGATGGTAACTTGATGCCATCTGTGAAAAAGCTGAAGTTAAAGAGAGGATGGCTTCTACAAATGGATAATGATCCTAAACACACCTCGAAATCCACGGGGGATTACATCAAGAGGCGTAAACTGAAGGTTTTGCCATGGCCTTCACAATCTCCTGACCTCAACATCATTGAAAAATCTATGGATAGACCTTAAAAGAGCCGTGCGTGACAGACAGCCCAGAAATCTCAAAGAACTGGAAGACTTTTGTAAGGAAGAATGGGCAAAGATACCTCAAACAAGAATTGAAAGACTCTTGGCTGGCTACAAAAAGCGTTTACAAGCTGTGATACTTGCCAAAGGGGGCAGTACAAGATATTAACTCTGCAGGGGGCCCAAACTTTTGCAGACGCCATTTTTTTTGTTTTTTGCTATTTTGAAAGTGTAAATGATGGAAATAAAATCTAACTTTTGTTGACATATTATAAGAATGTCTAATCTGTAATTTGATGCCTTTTGGAGATTTTTCCATCTTTCCTTGGCTTCTTTATGCACATTAATACACATTTTTAGCTGGGGTGCCCAAACTTTCCATCCCCACTGTACATTATTAAAGACAATAAAAACAATTCTGATTCATAAAATGGGTTTTATTGCGTTTTGAAAAAAGGAAGTTATGTCGCCGCACCCTGTATTATCATTGTTCCAGTTTGACGCCAAATAGCCTCTTTCATTATTATTATTATTATTATACAGGATTTATGGCGCCAACAGTTTGCTCAGCGCTTTACGATATAACGGGAGACAATACAGCAATGATACAATGAAAAACGAAAGATTAAGAGGGCCCTGTGCATAAGAGCTTACAATCTAACAGATTCCTCTTGCAAACTACACTCACTGGCCACTTTATGAGGTCCACCTTGCTAGTCCCGAGTTGGACCCCCTTTTGCCTTCATTCTTTGTGGTGTACATTCAAGATGTTGGAAACGTTCCTCAGAGATTTTGCTCCATATTGACATGATGGCGTCACGCATTTGCTGCAGATTTGTCGGCTGCACATCCATGAAGAGAATCTTCTGTTCCACCACATCCCAAAGGTGCTCTATTGGATGGAGATCTGGTGACTGTGGAGGCCATTGGAGTGCAGAGACCTCATTGTCATGTTCCAGAAACCAGTTGGAGATGATCTGAGCTTTGTGACACGGAGCATTATCCTGGTGGAAGGAGCCATCAGAAGATGGGGATACTGGAGTCATGAAGGGATGGACATGGTCAGCAACAATACTCAGGTAGGCTGTGGGGTTTAAACAATGCTCAGTTGGTACTAAGGGGCCCAAAGTGTGGCAAGAATATCTCCCCCCACACCATGACACCACCACCACCAACCTGAACCATTGATACAAGGCAGGATGGATCCACCACACCATGACACCACCACCACCACCAGCCTGAACCATTGATACAAGGCAGGACGGATCCCCCACACCATGACACCACCACCAGCCAGACCCGTTGATACAAGGCAGGATGGATCCACCACACCATGACACCACCACCTCCAGCCTAAACCATTGATACAAGGCAGGATGGATCCATCACACCATGACTCCACCACCACCAGCCTGAACCATTGATACAAGGCAGGATCAATCCACCACTCTATGACACCACCACCAGCAGCCTGAACCATTGATACAAGGCAGGATCGATCCACCTCACCATGACACCACCACCACCAGCCTGAACCATTGATACAAGGCAGGGTGGATCCATCACACCATGACATCACCACCACCAGCCTGAACCATTGATACAAGGCAGGATGGATCCCTCACACCATGACTCCACCACCACCAGCCTGAACCATTGATACAAGACAGGATCAATCCACCACACCATGACATCACCACCAACAGTGGACAGTTCCCAGGGGTGTCCATGCATTAAGACAGCCCTATTCCTACAACCAGTACAGGAGGTGTCTCCTCTCCTCTGCTTTATTCCCCAGACTCCAAGAATGCTTTGACAGCATTTGTCCAAACAAACCAGTGGTCCAATCACGTGTGTATGCCCTACCATCGTACGATTTACTAGTAATATTACTTCCTTATGAAGCACTTTGTTCCAGTCCTTCTGGGATTTGTAGCTCCACCAATGGTGGGGAACCAATATCATGGTGTAGCTTGCTGTGCCACTGCCCATCCCATCATTTTGAAAGAGTGGGAGCAACACACTATATACCGTATATATAGAACCTCAACTATTGCCCCTCCCATCACCCAGAGAGCACACAATAGTCAATCTGTGCAATGCTCCAGGAAAATCTCTGAAGACATAATTGATGTGAATGGACACTGGAGACACGCTGCAAGGCCACCTTTCTCAACTAGTATTCCTTGAAGGTTTTCTAGGGGATTCCTTGACTGATCTCCCACTCTACTTCCAGAGTTGGCGTCATTTGGCAGAGAAAGCAACATGGGACCAGTGGAGCCTCTGCTTACGAAACTTAAATAAGTAACTACTGATCCCAATGATCATTTAAGCTCTTTGTAAGGGGGGTCATTTCTTCCACTGACCCCCAATGTAAGGGACATTCTTCTCACTGACCACCAATGTAAGGGACATTCTTCCCAATGACCCCCAATGTAAGGGACATTCCTCCCACTGACCCCCAATGTAAGGGACATTCTTCCCACTGACCACCAATGTAAGGGACATTCTTCTCACTGATCACCAATGTAAGGGACATTCTTCTCACTGATCACCAATGTAAGGGACATTCTTCTCACTGATCACCAATGTAAGGGACATTCCTCCCACTGACCACCAATGTAAGGGACATTCTTCTCACTGATCACCAATGTAAGGGACAATCTTCCGTCTGATCACCAATGTAAGGGACATTCTTCCCACTGACCACCAATGTAAGGGACATTCTCCCCAATGACCACCAATGTAAGGGACATTCTTCTCACTGACAACCAATGTAAGGGACATTCTTCCCAATGACCACCAATGTAAGGGACATTCTTCCCAATGACCACCAATGTAAGGGACATTCTTCCCACTGACCCCCAATGTAAGGGACATTCCTCCCACTGATCCCCAATGTAAGGGACATTCTTCCCACTGACCCCCAATGTAAGGGACATTCCTCCCACTGATCCCCAATGTAAGGGACATTCTTCCCACTGATCACCAATGTAAGGGACATTCCTCCCACTGATCCCCAATGTAAGGGACATTCTTCCCACTGATCACCAATGTAAGGGACATTCTTCCCACTGATCACCAATGTAAGGGACGTTCTTCCCACTGATCACCAATGTAAGGGACATTCTTTCCACTGACCACCAATGTAAGGGACATTCTTCCCACTGATCACCAATGTAAGGGACATTCTTTCCACTGACCACCAATGTAAGGGACATTCTTTCCACTGACCACCAATGTAAGGGACATTCTTCCCACTGATCACCAATGTAAGGGACATTCTTCTCACTGACGACCAATGTAAGGGACATTCTTCCCACTGACCACCAATGTAAGAGATATTCTTCCCACTGACCCCCAATGTAAGGGGCATTCTTCCCACTGACCACCAATGTAAGGGACATTCTTCCCACTGACCCCCAATGTAAGGGAGATTCTTTCCACTGACCACCAATGTAAGGGACATTCTTCCCACTGACCCCCAATGTAAGGGAGATTCTTCCCACTGACCCCCAATGTAAGGGGCATTCTTCCCACTGACCACCAATGTAAGGGACATTCTTCCCACTGACCCCCAATGTAAGGGAGATTCTTTCCACTGACCACCGATGTAAGGGACATTCTTCCCACCGACCACCAATGTAAGGGACATTCTTACCACTGACCACCAATGTAAGGGACATTCTTCCCACTGACCACCAATGTAAGGGACATTCTTCCCACTGACCACCAATGTAAGGGACATTCTTCCCAATGACCACCAATGTAAGGGATATTCTTCCCACTGACCACCAATGTAAGGGACATTCTTTCCAATGACCCCAATGTAAGGGACATTCTTCCCACTGACCACCAATGTAAGGGACATTCTTCCCACTGACCCCCAATGTAAGGGAGATTCTTCCCACTGACCCCCAATGTAAGGGACATTCTTCCCACTGACCACCAATGTAAGGGATATTCTTCCCACTGACCACCAATGTAAGGGACATTCTCCCCACTGACCACCAATGTAAGGGACATTCTCCCCACTGACCACCAATGTATCCAAGCACATCTCTGACCACCAACATAAGTGGGGTCCTCTTCTCGCTGGTAGCCGCCTTCCATCGACCACAAATGCAAGTGTCCTTCTGCACTGACCACCAATATTAGAGGGCACCCTGCTTGCTGATCTCTCTAATATACTCGAAGAAGTAGAAATAAGGTTTCTCAGGGGTCTTCTTAGGCCTGAAAATGATTACAAGGGTCTCTCTAGGATGCCGTAGAAGACAGCCGGAGACTGGGGGACATGTCACATGAGGGGGACAGAGATCACTGACACTTTTTATAATCATTGCTGTCACTTCCAGTACTGGCTGCTGGGGCCAAGGGCACCACAATAAATGTGAAGGTGCTGCAGGCTGGGCTCCGGGACTCTAAAGAAAGAACACAAGACATGAGGTGTCACCTGCTTTCCTGTATCTACAGCGGACTCGTGATGGGCGCCCTCATTTGGCATCAGCTGGGAAGGCAAACAACTCTGAGATCTGACATTTCCAGAGGAGGCCGATCTGTTTCCTGGGCTGGGGTCTCCGGCTCTCGCTTTGTTCTTTGTGTCTTCTGTGGGAGAAATGAGGACGCATGAAGACGTTCCATAAATTCCATCGTGAGTCACAATTTGCTAGTTTGGTAAGGCCGGGGTCTTACAGGGGTACAAAGGGGGTCTTACAAGGGTACAAAGGGGGTCTTACAATGCTACGAGGGGGTCTTATTAGGGTACAAAGGGGGTCTTACAATGGTGCAAAGGGGGTCTTACAATGGTACAAAGGGGGTCTTACAGTGGTACGAGGGGGTCTTACAATGGTACGAAGGGGGTCTTACAATGGTACGAAGGGGGTCTTACAAGGGTACAAAGGGGGTCTTACAATGGTACGAAGGGGGTCTTACAATGGTACGAGGGGGTCTTACAATGGTATGAAGGGGCTCTTAAAATGGTACGAAGGGGGTCTTACAATGGTACGAGGGGGGTCTTACAATGGTACGAAGGGGGTCTTACAATGGTACGAGGGGGGTCTTCAAAAAGTTTCTGCACTTTTTTAAAACTCTATCATATATATAAAAGTGCGGAAACTATTTGACGACCCCTCATACATTATTGTAGAATCACCGAACTCAGAAATGTTTATCAGTAACGTCCAGTTCAATATCTCACTCAGCTTTACCATCTGGAAGACGAACTTTATGTTCTTGCGGTTTGTTCTAATAAATTACATTTCCTCTTTTTGAAAGATCTCTGCCGAGTCCCCGTAACTACCCATCAGTGTGATCTACTGCATCCGGACTTCATGTCCCATGATCCTTTGCATGCTGCTCATAAAGCACAGAACCAGAGCAGCTGAGCTTCAGTCTTTGGGCCCGGTCCATTATAGCCATAATGTCCACAAACCCCATAATGTCCATAATCCCCATAATGTCCATAATCCCAATAATGTCCATAATGTCCATAATCCCATAGTGCCCATAATCCCCATAATCCCCATAATGTCCATAATGCCCATAATCCCCATAATGCCCATGATGTCCATAATCCCCATGATGTCCATAATGCCCATAATCCCCATAGTGCCCATAATCCCATAATGTCCACAATCCCCATAATGTCCACAAACCCCATAATGTCCATAATGCCCATAATGTCCATAAACCCCATAATGTCCATAATCCCCATAAATCCCCATAAATGTCCATAATCCCCATAATGTCCATAATCCCCATAATGTCCATAATCCCATAATGTCCATAAACCCCATAACCCCATAATGTAATGTCCATAAACCCCATAATCCCCATAATGTCCATAATGTCCATAAACCCCATAATAATGTCCATAATGTCCATAAACCCCATAATCCCCATAATGTCCATAATGTCCATAAACCCCATAATCCCCATAATGTCCATAAACCCCATAATCCCCATATGTCCATAATGTCCATAAACCCCATAATCCCCATAATGTCCATAAACCCCATAATCCCCATAATGTCCATAATGTCCATAAACCCCATAAACCCCATAAGTCCATCCCCATAATGTCCATAAACCCCATAATCCCCATACTGCCCAAAATAATGCATTCAGGTCTAACTGTATATATTTCAGTAAATATATATATATACATATATTTGTAAATGCAATCCAAAAATGTAGATTTGTATTTTTAAAGACAAACATATTTGAAATGTATTTTTTAAAAAATGGGCCCTTAGAGCGATGGATTCGGGTTTTTTCGGAAGGCTTTCTGTGTCTGTGAGCGGATTTTCCATCTCGCACAATGCAGCTCGGATCACTAGGCACAGCAGGAGAGAGATGGTTCCTGCCAGCGTTGGGGTATCACAGCGTGGTGTGTATGTGGGGGCTGCCACAACATATGTCACAACACATGGTGAGACCCGTCTGCTCTCCTGAAGAGACGGCAGACTGAACGCTCAGCCGGTATTATATTTTATTTCCGCGTCACCAGATATGCCGAGACGGCTCTCCCCGATGTTACTTCATATGAAGGTGGACCCGCAGCCCAGTGTCTATGGCTGACCCAAAGCGGAACTGGGATCTCTTTGTATTTTATTCCTGTACAGGGTGCCAGGGGCGGACTGACCATTCGGGCACTCAGGCACTGTCCGAGGGCCCGGGGTCAGTAGGGGGCCCCATGAGATGCCCCTGGTACCTTTCATAGGCTTTTTTGGGTGTGGTTTTGAGTGTGGGCGAGGACACAGGGGCCCCATGATTCCCTATTGCCCAGGGGCCCTATGAGCAGGGGTGGACTGTCCATTTGGAAACTCGGGCACTGCCCGAGGGCACGGGTCAGTATGGGGCCCCATGAGATGCCCTGGTATCTTTTTCATAGGCTTTTTTGAGTTTGGGCAAGGACACAGGGGCCCCATGATCCCCTATTGCCCGGGGGCCCCATGAGTTGTCAGTCCGCCCTGCCTATGAGTTATCAGTCCACCCCTGCAGAGCGCCCCCCAAGTCTGAGCACATAGGCAAAAGGCACGTTTTCAATCAATTTCAATACATTTTTCAACATTTTATTTTATTGGAATATTAATCAATAACGTCTTCAATGCGATCTCCACCATTCGTGATGCAACGTTCCATGCGCTTTGCAAGATTCACATGAACCCCATGCAGCAACTCTATTGTATAGTTGCATCACAAATTGTATAGTGTATGGCCAGCCTAATGCCGGCCATAGACGGGTCGAAAATCAGCCGATTTTATGTCTGGAAAAAAAATCGGCCGATTTTTGCACCGTTAGTGGGTTTATTGGTCGGCCGTTTTTTTGCAAATTTTTTTATCGGGCATGTTGGAAAATTTGCGGCCGATTTTCCCAGCAATAATAGGCAAATTGGCTGATCATTTTACCGATAAAAAATCTGCGCATGAGCCGTGACCTGCAAGAAGAAGAAAAAGAAGAAGAAAAGTAAGTAGAAGAAGAAGAAAAAGAAAGAAAAAGAATTCCAGTCCGCTATTATATTTTATATGAAATATTTTATATGTTGCAGTTGCAACAATGTATCCATTTGTATCCGAATAAAACCATCTGTATCCGAAATGGATACAAATGGATACATTGTTGCAACCGCAAGACTTTCATATAAAATATAATAGCGGAGCTCTCTGCAGGGACAGAAGTAATTATGGGGTTAAATCCCGGCCGTAGACGGGACGAAAACCGGCTGATTTTTTTACTGTTGGTGGTAACGTCGGCCGATCGAACAACCGATTTTTTTTTTTTTTTTTTTTTTAAAACAGCCGGATTTTGACCCGTCTATGGCCTGCTTAAGGCTGGGAGGCCATTAAAGGTCATGTGCGTGGAAAGGCAGGCGGCCCAATACTTTTGGCAATATAGTGTGTGTGTATATATATATATATATATATATATATATATTTTTTTTTTTAATTATTTTTATTTACCTAAAGTAGTATTGTGATTATATCAGGGGCGGACTGACAACTCATGGGGCCCCCAGGCAATAGGGGATCATGGGGCCCCTGTGTCCTTGCCCAAACTCAAAAAAAAGCCTATGAAAAAGGTACCAGGGGCATCTCATGGGGCCCCCTACTGACCCCGGGCCCTCGGGCAGTGCCCCAGTTTCCAAATGGTCAGTCCGCCCCTGGATTATATACAGTGATTAGACAAAAATATGGAAACACTACATGATTAGACGACATGTTTGGAGTTGAAATTGATGTAGCATTCTTTTGCTCCCGCTGTGTGATGAGACACCCAGCTAACAGGTGGGAAGCCTCACTTTCCTCATTCGCTGCCAGTAATACGGAGTCATGTCAGAGCTTACTGAGCTTCATAGATGGGAATTGTTGGTGCCGCTTAGCCAGCTCCTCTGTGACTGAAGTTGGCAAGGTATTTGCGAGGTCCCGTATTAGAGGTTATGGCGGCGCATACAGTTTCTGGGAAAACGTCGTCTGATAAGTGCGGTCGGCAGGGTCATCTGACCGAAGGAGACAAAAGGACATTGCGCAGGATTGTGACCCGGAGTCAGAAAACAACCGCTGCAAAAGTGACCCCTTTTTTCAAGTTTCCTCGTGTGACCTGACACCTAAGAACACATGAGCTCTAACTGCCATACACTGTTATTGGGGAACTACAAGTCCCAGCATATGCCTGCTGCTCTGGAAACATGGCCTGGTTCATGCGGGTAATGTCTATCATGCTGGTGCTTGTAGTTCCACAGCAGATGGAAGTTACAGGGTGCCCAAGCTTGCATTAGTGCCACTGGAACTACAAGAACCAGCATGCCAGGCCTGTCTGCCATTGCCCTTGATTGGCTTCATTGTTCAATGTGGAATGTTTCATAGAAAATATTTCATTTCTTTTTGTTAGTGTGCCACAGAATAAATCTCTGCGTTTTGTTTGGTGGAGGAAGAACAAAAAAGTATTCATAATATCGCCCTCTCGATGATCCCCCCCCCCCCCTTCCTGACCGGGCCATGTTTCGCGATGCGGCGCTGCGTTTCTTTAACTGACAATTGCGCGGTCATGCAACGCCACGCCCTAATGAAATTTACGTCCTTTTTCCCCACAAATAGAGCTTTATTTCGGTGGTATTTGATCTCCTGTGCACTTTTTATTTTTTGCGCTAAAAACAAAAAAAGGACCAATAATTTTGCGAAAAAAAACTATATTTTGGACTTTTTGCTATTCAACACATCCAGTAAAAAAATTTAAAAAATCAAACTTCGTCATAAATTTTGGCCAAAATGTCTCCCGCTCCATGTCTTCGCTACAAAAAAATCCCAAACCGTGGAAATGAATTTGTTTACGTGACAGTTATAGCGTCTCTACCAATGGCGGGATAGATACTGGGATTTTATTTTTTTTATACTAGTAATGGCGGCGATCAGCGACTTATAGCGGGACTGACTTGGTGTCACTGACATCTCCAGTGACACCAATACAGTGATCAGTGATAATAAAAAGCACTGACACTGTACTAATGGCACTGGGCAGGAAGGGGTTAACATCTGGGGTATCAAAGGGTTAACTGTGTGCTGGTCCTGTGGGTTTACTAGGGAGACATGCTATGCAGAGAGATAAAAAGCAGCATGTCCTTGCTGAAAGGAGGAGAGAGACGTGTTGTTTTCAGTGGCGGTCCTGTGGACACATTGTATCGGTGGCGGTCCTGTGGATACATTGTATTGCTGGCGCTCCTGTGGATACATTGTATCGGTGGCGGTCCTGTGGGTTACATTGTATCGGTGGACGCTCCTGTGGTTACATTGTATCGGTGGCGGCTCCTGTGGGTTACATTGTATCGGTGGCGCTCCTGTGGTTACATTGTATCGGTGGCGGTCCTGTGGGTTACATTGTATCGGTGGCGGTCCTGTGGGTTACATTGTATCGGTGGCGGTCCTGTGGGTTACATTGTATCGGTGGCGTTCCTGTGGTTACATTGTATCGGTGGCGGTCCTGTGGGTTACATTGTATCGGTGGCGCTCCTGTGGGTTACATTGTATCGGTGGCGGTCCTGTGGGTTACATTGTATCGGTGGCGGTCCTGTGGATTACATTGTATCGGTGGCGGTCCTGTGGGTACATTGTATCGGTGGCGGTCCTGTGGGTTACATTGTATCGGTGGCGGTCCTGTGGTTACATTGTATCGGTGGCGGTCCTGTGGGTTACATTGTATCGGTGGCGGTCCTGTGGGTTACATTGTATCGGTGGCGGTCCTGTGGTTACATTGTATCGGTGGCGGTCCTGGGGTTACATTGTATCGGTGGCGGTCCTGTGGGTTACATTGTATCGGTGGCGTCCTGTGGGTTACATTGTATCGGTGGCGGTCCTGTGGGTTACATTGTATCGGTGGCGGTCCTGTGGGTTACATTGTATCGGTGGCGGTCCTGTGGTTACATTGTATCGGTGGCGGTCCTGTGGGTTACATTGTATCGGTGGCGGTCCTGTGGGTTACATTGTATCGGTGGCGGTCCTGTGGGTTACATTGTATCGGTGGCGGTCCTGTGGATACATTGTATCGGTGGCGGTCCTGTGGGTTACATTGTATCGGTGGCGCGGTCCTGTGGTTACATTGTATCGGTGGCGGTCCTGTGGATTCATTGTATCGGTGGCGGTCCTGTGGGTTACATTGTATCGGTGGCGCTCCTGTGGATACATTGTATCGGTGGCGGCTCCTGTGGGAAACATTGTATCGGTGGCGGTCCTGTGGGTTACATTGTATCGGTGGCGGTCCTGTGGATACATTGTATCGGTGGCGGTCCTGTGGGTTACATTGTATCGGTGGCGGTCCTGTGTGGTTACATTGTATCGGTGGTGGTCCTGGGTTACATTGTATCGGTGGCGTCCTGTGGGTTACATTGTATCGGTGGCGGTCCTGTGGGTTACATTGTATCGGTGGCTCCTGTGGGTTACATTGTATCGGTGGCGGTCCATTACATTGTATCGGTGGCGGTCCTGTGGATTCATTGTATCGGTGGCGGTCCTGTGGATTACATTGTATCGGTGGCGGTCCTGTGGATGTTACATTGTATCGGTGGCGGTCCTGTGGTTACATTGTATCGGTGGCGGTCCTGTGGGTTACATTGTATCGGTGGCGGTCCTGTGGGTTACATTGTATCGGTGGCGGCTCCTGTGGGTTACATTGTATCGGTGGCGGTCCTGTGGGTGACATTGTATCGGTGGCGGTCCTGTGGGTTACATTGTATCGGTGGCGGTCCTGTGGGTGACATTGTATCGGTGGCGCTCCTGTGGGGTTACATTGTATCGGTGGCGCTCCTGTGGGTTACATTGTATCGGTGGCGCTCCTGTGGGTTACATTGTATCGGTGGCGGTCCTGTGGTTACATTGTATCGGTGGCGCTCCTGTGGTTACATTGTATCGGTGGCGGTCCTCCTGTGGTTACATTGTATCGGTGGCGGTCCTGTGGTTACATTGTATCGGTGGCGGTCCTGTGGTTACATTGTATCGGTGGCGGTCCTGTGGGTACATTGTATCGGTGGCGCTCCTGTGGGTTACATTGTATCGGTGGCGGTCCTGTGGGTTACATTGTATCGGTGGCGGTCCTGTGGTTACATTGTATCGGTGGGGTCCTGGTGGTGTACATTGTATCGGTGGCGGTGGCCTGTGGGTTACATTGTATCGGTGGCGGTCCTGTGGGTTACATTGTATCGGTGGCGCTCCTGTGGGTTACATTGTATCGGTGGCGGTCCTGTGGGTGACATTGTATCGGTGGCGGTCCTGTGGGTGACATTGTATCGGTGGCGGTCCTGTGGTTACATTGTATCGGTGGCGCTCCTGTGGGTTACATTGTATCGGTGGCGGTCCTGTGGTTACATTGTATCGGTGGCGGTCCTGTGGGTTACATTGTATCGGTGGCGGTCCTGTGGTTACATTGTATCGGTGGCGCTCCTGTGGGTTACATTGTATCGGTGGCGCTCCTGTGGGACATTGTATCG